TATATGTCTATCTTCTATACGTGTATAATACAATATAATTTTTATAATACAAATTGTTTTCTTAAGTAAATTATGTGATTTGATTAGACTAGGCCGGCATTAAGCAATAATAATACAAGCCAACTATACTACAGCAAAATTATCATCTGGGCAGCTTTACTTAGTACGTGGGTTGTAAAATTACCGTAATTTTACGTAATTTTGCGTAATTTTGTGTAGGTTTTTGTAAAACGGTTTCCATTTAATTAGTATATAAAAAGGTTTGAAACTCGCAAAATTACACAAAATTACATGAAAATGTAAAATTGTAAAATGTAATTTTCAACCCTATACGTACGTACGTACGTACGTGGGCTACCATTTCATTAGTAAAATTTTGGGTGACTTGGATTTGGTTGCCCCACTACGTAATCCATCCTGCATACGTATGTACAATATTGTAATTTTTATTGTGTCAATTATACCGAAATCACAAACTTAATCGAATCGGCCGAAGCATCATTCGGTCAGGTGTTCCAGGAATTATGAAAATAGCAGGCCGGGCCGTGGGTTAAATATTTAAAATAAACTATTATACGTATATTTAATTTTACTTAATTTGCATTAATATACATGAATAATGATTATAGATTCTTATGAAAGAAAATTTCTAAACATACACCCCACTATATTGTTTTTCCGGCCATTCACTGTGTCGTTTTTGATCTATCAAAAAAATCAATACGTAGTATATTGATACAATAATTGATTGCAATAATCATGCGTCAAGGACGACTCTTTGAATGGCCGGAAAAACAATATAGTGGTTTAAGCCCTGACAGTGTATGTACAGTACACTATATAGCGATATATAGTATAATTTGTAAATCAGTGTAACACAAAATTAATACGTATGATTTAAGTTGGACTAAGGTGATTTAGGTTAGGGTGTAGTTTAGATTAAAATTTTACGGAAATTTTTTCGAATAGAAATTGCCATTATGAGAAAATATTAAACAAAGATAACAAGAATAAACGACATAATGGTGGATAAGTAGAAGTAAAGAGACTAAAAGAATCTAATTTATAAGGGAGCTACAGAGAATAGCTTCGTGTAAAGTGTTGGGAAAATGAAAGTGTCGGGAGTGAAAGTGTCGAGGAAATGAAAATGTCGGGGAAATGAATATATTGGGGAAATGAAATATTAGGATAATATCAGCGAATAAATGTCGGAAAAATGTTATGTTGGGGAAGTGATTATCGGGAAAAGGTTTTCATAAAATTTGATTGTCAGTAAAATAAATAATAAGGAGTGATATACTTAAACTGCAGTTCACCCGGTCATCTTTTAACGCTATATTGTATATTTGGCTTTAAATTATGCGCTTATTTTCTGAGGAATGACTTGATATGAGTCATGAGCTCTGGATGTGTAACGAATAACTTAGTAAGCCACAAAAATTCAGCGGTGTTAGGGATATATATAGTTAAGATTACATAATTAATTAGAACAAGAATGCCAAAGCCCAGTTTCATGGTTAAAATTTTTTAAGTTACACTTGGCCTTAAATTTGATTGAATGATCTGTTAGCGCTAGCGCTAGGACTGCAGCTCTACACGTCTTCAAGTTTTATATTCAAGAAAATGCTCAATATATTTGGATATGGTCGAAAGCTTACGACGCTACGTACGTAGTAAAACCTCTTGGCTAACAGCTAAATAAGGATTTTCTATTATACCAATTATATTATTAATGATGATACGTATAAGTGGTACATATATAGTGGTTTATTATATACTATATAAATTAATTGTCCAACCGGACCAATTAACCAATAACAATTCAGAAACCGTTTTCTTTAAAGACCAATATTAGCGATGGTAGTTTTTTTCCTAAAATCATTACTTTTAAAATTAAACATCTTTCATTCATTCTTTAATAACAAGCAAGCATTATGAGTACTGCCATAGCTTTACAACAGCAATTGGAAGATCCTACCTCGGGCCATGTAAATACTCTCACTAAAGAACAGGCCTCTTTATTGCGTGAATTTTGGGCTGTTACGTTTATCATGCAGGAGGTTACTCCCGTAGATACCTCTGAAATAAAGCAAATTACTACTAAGGACTTGTCAAATATTAAGGCTAATGGTCGTTTTGGCAGAAAGAATAAAGGTCAAAATGTTAATGTTATTGAGACTTTTACTAAATATAGTAAGATGGCGCGCAAAATGAGGGAGGATAAAGGAGCGAGTAATGCTTCTCGTACAACTAGTAATGGTTCAAGCAGTGCAAGTGATAAATATAACGAATCATCGGAGTTTTTATCTGCTCTTGTGTCATACACGCCTGAAGAGTTACATCGTGCTGCATGGAAAATAATTGCAGCGGATGATCCAGATGTAATACTTCTTCGCTTCCTTCGGGCAAGGAAATGGGACGTTGAAAAAGCTATGGTAATGTACATGGCTACACTAAAGTGGATGCTACAGGCTAAAGTCCGAGACATCGTCGAAGGTGGTGAACAAGGATTGGAACAATATTTTACAGGTAAAGATCTTGAAGGATTGAAATATCAATTTACAAGTGGCAAAAGTTTTAATAGAGGAACTGATAAAGACGGAAGGCCTGTATGGTAAGACCTCGACAAAAATTTTATCAGAAATATTTAGAATTATGTAAACTTTTTAAAAGCTCATTGAATTTTAACTTGATCGAAAAATGCGATATAGCTATGTGAATGTTCGATATCATAAGAAAGACGATCAGACTTTTGAAGTTCTTCAGAAATACACTATTTACATCATGGAAACAACTCGTTTGATGATGGAAGCTCCAGTGGAAACTGGGTGCCTCGTCTTTAATATGACTGGATTTACTATGTCTAACATGGTAAGAATTAAGATTATTTCGGCAATGGCCTTTGCAATATAATTGTTAATAAATTTGACATTCATTGATAGGATTTCCAATATGTTAAGTTCATAATTCAATGTTTTGAAGCATATTATCCAGAAAGCTTGGGAGTTTTGATAATCCACAAAGCCCCTTGGGTGTTCGGAGGGTTGTGGAAATTGATATCGCCTCTTTTAGATCCTGTTGTGGCGTCAAAAATTCGCTTTACACAAAGCGAAAAAGAGATCTTACAATTAATCCCATCTAAACATTTAATTACCGATTTGGGTGGTGAGGATAAGTGGGAATATAAATATTTACCTCCAAGTGAAAATGAGAATTATAGAATGAAGGATGAAGTGACAAAAAAGCAGAAGCTAGAAAAGAGGCATTCTTTGGAGGATGAATTTGAAAAACTTACTAAACGATGGCTAGACGAACCAGACAATGAACAGATAAAAAATGAAAGAAATCAGGTGAAAATTCAACTGCGACAAGCTCAACTGGAGTTAGATCCACATATTAGAGCCAGAACTTATTATGATCGTATTGGAGTGCTTCGTGAAGATGGATCATGTGATTGGGGATATTGAAAGCAAGTTTTAGAATAACTAATCACATGTAGTATTATTTATATTCGATTTTTTCTTTTATTATCATTGATTTTATGTATTGTTTTTATTACAATTTATTATAGATGTGACAATTCATAGATTTGAATAATGATTTCAATGATTGAATAAGTTATTCGATATTAATGTAATTACAAAACCAAACATCAAATATAAATATATATAAATCGACTATTATAATATATTCGCTTTAAGTTAACACGTTTTGAATTGACATCGCAATATTTATTACTGTCAACTCTCTACTCCGAACAGTCCGTTCTTATATGTAAAAATAACAAAAAGTTCAGTTCTCAAAGAGTCTATGTTGCTAATCCGAGCTTTATAATAAAATTTATAAATGTTCTAAAGTTTTGTGGTCGGTTTTTACAGAGTTTATTAACCATTTCGTTCAATATACCTCAATTTGAATGTACATTGGTAAAAAAAATTTATCGTTTTGTGTAAATACCCCAAACTTGAATAATTTTTTTTATTGTGATTTTGTAATTCCTTTTGTAATAGTCAAAAGGAAAGAAACATCTACAACACTTGCAAACTACCGCAAGGATCAATATCGATATTATCACGTGGCTAGCAATGATCAAAAAAAAAAAAAAAAAAAGAAAAAAAAAAGGGGGAAAAAAAAAGGAAAAAAAAAAAAAGCTTAAAGCTGATCATATTCTAGAGTATCAGCAATGTAAAAGCATAGATATGCTTTACGTTTACTTTGTAGAACATCATCGATGTCCGCGAGCTTCACTGCATGATCGTCAAACAAAAACCATTGGTCTCTGTTCTTACAATATACTGTATAGTGTCCAGTATTTATCTTTCCTTCATGATTTACAACGGATATCAGGTTATACTTAAAATCTGGCAGGTCATCTAACGATCCACCCTGTTCCAGAACCTCTTGAGCCAGACTTGTCCATTTTGTCATATTAATTTCCTCTGGAAATTCAAAGGGTGCCTCGTTTTTTGATGTTGTTTTTCCTTCTCGACTAAAACGTTCGACAACAAAAGTTAAGACTGGGGGTAATTTCTTACAACTAAATCTCCTTGTACAAGCCTCGCTGCTTGCTGGAATCTGATTAAAAGATACACCCGCTTCCAAATAATTTAAGTTACAAACATCACACTTATAATCTTTGATCTGCTCCTCCGCAGTATATCTTTCAAGACAAAGTTGTAAAGTATTTTTATCACTTATTTCACTAATATCGTTTTCTATCGAAGCCTTAGTATGGCCATTTTTTTTCTTTTGTGGCGTTGGGGATCCACGAAGATGAAGCTGCCATTCAACCAATGGTTCTTCTTTGGTCTTTACGTCGTTACATACTTTACACTTAATACGAGATTGAAAAACACCCCCAAACGTTTTATGCATTATGCATTCGCATTTTTGACCATTGCGATTTAATGATTCTGGAATACTTTCTTTGGAATCGGCATGCATCTTATTAATAGCAGCCAAGTAAAATTCGTGAGCATCTTGTTCAGCATACCCGGCAAGTTCTTTTGAACTCAGCCACATGGCGTGAAGGAAACTACATGGTGGATATGGCTTCTTTTCTCCAGAATGGAATTCTTGAAAAAGATTATCAATTTCACAGCACATACAACCTGCTGTGCCACATAGCTTGTTATTATGTTTGTCCGTCATAAAATAGTTTTTGATAAGCGGATTTGTTAGAAAAGTTTGCAAGATGGCATTCATGAAACATGTGGCGCCCATGTTAAAAAGACCTCGCAAACCGGAACAAGGAAGTGGTGTTGAATCTCTGGATATATTAGCGACTTCTTCAGAGTTTGGTTGCCAAGAGACATATCGGGCACGTTTTGCACAGGGTTCTTTTAGATTTGACTCTTTTTCTGCCACACGCACTTCTTGTAACGTTTTTGCAGTTTCAAAATCGAGGTCATATACATAATCACCACACTTAAAACAGAATAAGGCTAACCTTACGATATCCATAGCGAAGGTGTGGCTAGTATCATGAAAATGTTTTAGGGCGTGACGTTGATCGCGCCAACAACCGATAAATACACAATCTAAACAAGCGTGAAGCCGATCACCTTTAAATGAACATATTGAACATTTCTGAGGACTAAGAATGATTTCGCGGTCTCTCCTTAAGCCATCAAAGTCTCTAATACCCCCATTAGGTATTCCAATACGATACCAATGCATTGATAATTCAGCAATCGTATTATAATTGTCCAAATATGTGTATCTATTGCTTTCTTTATACTCTTTCAAATGTAAACAGCCATTTTTAGGGGGGATAGGTTTGAAAGCTTGAGTTGACTGGATCACCCGTCTCGCATTTGGAAAATCAGTTTGAGCGGATTGATCGGAAGGCAGTGCCGTATTAGGTGTTTCAGCCTTTCTTTTGGTTCCCTTTTTAATAGGCTTTGAGTGCTTGCTCTTTGGAGTTTCATAAATTGAAGGCTTAACTTGATTTGTTTCCTGGTTGTTAACAATATCAATGCTTGGCTCAAGATCCTCAATCTCCGTTGATTGAGATACTTTATTCTTATTCGTGTGACTAGATCTTTTTGATTTACTCTTGATATTAGCTTTGTTATTACCTTTTCCAGACATCTTACGAAGAAATTATATTAATACACGTTGCGAATTAAGATAGTACATACGCGAATTGCAATTATGCAGGTTGATTTACGATCTCATGTGATATTAGAAACTATATCCTTTACGAGAAAATTTTACTCCCTTAAATTGGCCCGGGTCTAACAGTATATTTGGTAAATGCGGGCCAGGTTGGTCAAAAAATTTTGAAATTTTGGTGACTACAACTGGGTAAAATCACCACCTAAAAAAAATTTTACGGCCAATCAAATTTCAAGATCAGGTGTAACGTAGCACGATCAGGAAAATTCATAACTTTGTCAAAGAGCCTTCTGCGCATTAGTAAAAAAGTTTTCTAACTTAAGAGCAAGGTCCTAACCCTAACATAACAGTACGAAATTTTACTTCGAAATGTTTTTGGGTGGCGATTTTACTCGTGTGGTAGCTTACCCACGAAATTTTGGTATAAACTATGCTCTTTTTTGGCTTTAATCCTAACCTTAAAGATATGGTTTATTGACTTAAATTTTCGCTTAATTCGATTGCCGTTTCGGACCAATAGGGTGTGGCATGGCAAAAAAATTTGGCATGCCATTAGCCAAAATTTAGCTATGCCATATATATTTTTTTATTTTTTATTTTTATTTTTGAAAATAATTAATAATTTCATATAATATAAACAAATAAATAAACAATTTAATAAATAAAAAAAAATTTTTTTTAGAATTTTAGGGTAAGGGTTAGAGTTCATATTAGGGTTAGAGTTTAGTAAGGTTTATAGAAAAATTTTACAAGAAATTTTTTTACTTAGAGCCTCAAAAGTAGTTTTATAAGCAAAATTTTAAGATAATTTTACTACAGGTGATAATCACCTGTGGTGTAAATTAGAAATTTCTTTTATTTTTTTTTTAAATATCATAGTTAAAATTTTACTTAATAAAATTTTTTTTTTAAAAAAATTATATTTTATATATAATGAAATATTATATTTTTTTACTAGTAAACTATTAATTTACAATTATTTAGTAATTTTTTATTTTATTTTTTTTTTAATATTAAGGTAACTATTTTGGGGTTTGGCATATTTATTATTTACAACTTGTTAATCTTGTCTAACTTTGTTACGTTAATAAAAATATAATTGGTTATATATACAATTTTAGTCATTGCCTATTTAAGAGTTTTATTATATATATTTTTATTTATATTTACTTACCAATTGTTATACAGTCAGACTCCCTAAATGCAACTTCTCTAAATATATATATATATAAAAAACCTTCTTAAATGCATGTCTTTTCTTGGGTCTAACTAATATAATACTTATAGATTTTTATCTCCCTAAATGCATAACCTCTCTAAATGTATATTTTTAAAATTTTTTACTATGGTCCTGACTTCATATATTTAGAAAGGGTTGACTATATCTAAGATCTGCTTGTAGATTTTCTATTTAAACTCTTTGATTAACTTTATACTATTAGATATTTTTATTATTGTTTAACTACTACTAAAGCCTTTTAGAATTACTTTATTCTTGTAGTAAATCTACCAGAGTAGTTTATATCTTACATATGTATTATCTTGGTTTTTTAATAATTATACTTTATTTAAGAACTAATATTTTTAGTCTTTTACTTTTACTACTATTATCTATTCTTTATTTTTGCAAAATTCATTCAAATTTTGATATCTTTCCTTTAAGACTACTTAGTATTCAACACTCATCTATTAAAATATTCTCTAGTTTGTTTTCTCAGATTATCAATTTAGATAGCTCAGAAGAGATACTAGTTCTATGGTATCTGTTGATTTTTTTTTTTAGTTGATGTTTTGGTGATCTAGTTAGTAGAATAACTTGCTAATACTCTTGTCTTATCTAGTTAACTGATTTTAGATAAAGTTTATTTCAGTTAGTAATTAGACTCATCTAAAAAAATGCTATTCAGGTCACCTGATGAGTGAACTATTGACTACCCAGGTAGAACTCAGGTGGGTCACTTGACAGATGAGCTATTGGCCATCCAAGTAGGTTGCAGCTATTTTTATAGTTCATGGAGCATTTGATAACCGAATGATGTTCTGGCCGATTCAAGTGTTGCTAAAACTACTAGACTTTATATGCCAGCTCTATAAAAGTTTTAGACAACGTTATTTGTGTATGAAAATTACATATCAGAAACTTACACGTAAAAATTACGCAAATTTTCTACCCTATATACTGTATAAAAACATAATACAGGTTACTCTCGTTAATATTAACCTATTTGAATTGGCTTTAAATCATATTGATATATTAACAAGGTTGATATTGATGAAGATAACCTGTACTTGTGTTCTATAGGTGATTTTAATATTATAAATGACGATACATCAATATTATTTGAAT